TACTCTATGAGAATAAGCTCTCCACACTTTATACGTGACAACTCCTACCCACAGGGATCTTATTGGGATGGTGCAGTGTGTTAAACGGGAGACCCCCAAAAATTATGTCCACAGAATCTGAATTCCCACAGCCTGTGAATATGACCTTATTTGGAAAAAGTGTCTGTCTTAGTTATTTTTTTTCTCACTGCTAGGACAAAATACCCGAAGCCCAAAATTAAGGAAGGAAAGGTTCGTTTAGCTCGCAGTTTGTGGAGGCTTCAGTGCGTAATCATCCGGCTCCAAGGCAGGGTGGCGTGGCACAGGGCAACAGTTCAAGGCAGCAGAGACAGCAAAAGCACAGGGGGAGAAGCGGGGAAACAAGGCTTCTTGCTCTCCTTATGTTGTACGCCAGCTATCCGCCCAGGCCCACGCCGTCTCCCTGCCCTCGTCTTCCAAGCGGAGCATGTTCACAAAGTAAGGCCCCTGGCCCACTGCTCAATCACTTCACCTTTTAAACTTCTCAGGCTGACAGGATGAACATGCTAGAGGGTAAGGGCATGTCCTCGCCCCAGGGTGTAAAACTGCGGAGTTACTTAGTTAAGCTTCTAGACTTCAAGCTGACACAATGTATCAGCCATAAGCCTCTTTGCAGATAAAATTAAGCACCTTGACTTGAGACCCTTCTGGGTTATGCAGGTGGGCCCTCAGTCCAGTGCCAAGTATTTCTTATAAGGGATGAAAAGAAGACAGAGAGAGGCGGCCGGGTGCAGGCAGAAGCCAAGTGTGGCATCGAGTTGGAAAACACAAGGACACACTGTCGGGCCTTTGAGGAGTGTGTACGGGATTACAGCTTGCCTTCAGACTTCCTCAAACTGAAAGAATAAATTTCTGTTATTTTTAGACACAGTTTGTGGTAACTTGTTATAGTAGTACTACTGTGTAAGGAGTATCACTTACACAGAAGGTAACAAAGAGGCCGGTGCAGTGGGGCATACCTGTAAGCCGAGGTATTCGGGAGGCTGAGGTAGAAGGATTGCAAGTTTGTGGCCATCCTGGTTAGTTTAGTGAGAACCTGTCCCAAATAAAATTTAAAAAGCCCAGCATGCACAAGACGCTGGGTTCAATACTGTCTCGGTTACTTTTCTCCCGTTGCTGAGACAAAATACCTGATGCCCAAACTTAAGGAAGGAAAGGTTTATTTAGCTTAGTTTGTGGAGGTTTCAGTCCATACTCGGCTGGCTCAAAGGCAGAGTGGCACATGGCAAGGGCAACAGTTCATGACGGTGGAAAACAGCAAGAGCAACAAGAGCAAAATGGAGGAGCAGCGGCAAGTAGCCTCTTTCCCTCCCTTACACTGTATGCAAACTACCCGCCCCAGGGCAGGTGTAGTACTCACACCCGTAACTCCAACACTGGGCCATAAATCAATCATAAATCTAGAATTCCGTCCCATGACTGCATGAGAATTTGGGGGGACATGCAGACACAAACATAACAAATCCCCAGTGCAGGTTGGGGCGGGGGCCATGAGGAAGAAAATAAAAGCACACAGACTACAGTGACGAGTACCTACTTTGGAATGACAGAACCATGTTAGGTAGCCTTGAGGGAGTTAACTTTGCTAATATTTAGTTCCTTCCTTTGTAAAATAATGATAGAAACAGAGGCCAGTGTTTTTTTAATATTTCATTTAAAAGCTTAAAAAATAGTAACTTCTAAAGGGCACTTGTGAGGATTAAGTAAGATAACGAACAGCCAGGTGTGATGGCTCATGCCTGTAATTCCAGCATTCAGGAGGCTGAGGCAGGAGACTGTCCACATGAGTTTGAGGCCAGACTGGACTATATAGTTCAAGGCCAGTCAGAAATAACGAGCAAGACCGTGTCTCAAAACAGACAAGCAGATAATAAATGATTTAGCACTGCCTAGTCTATGTAAGTGTTCAATCAATGCTAGCCATTGTAGTTTAAGGTTATTACATACATGAGGTGGCAATCTCTCCTTTTTTGAATGCTCTAAAACTTCCTTGTTTATTCAAACATCACCAGGATCATCTGAGAAATAAGCTGGAGTACAAATTAAATCACACCAGACTGTTCTAAACTTTTTTTTCCTAAATGGCAAGCTGTGGTCCTTTTGAACATTGAAGGCATCCTGAAGGGAGCTACAGCCATGCCCGGGCATCTGCACATGCGACTACTGCACAGGCTCTCACTGTAAGGTAGGCAGCTACCCTTCCTTCTAAGGCAACTTTCTGTCTTCCATGAAACCTCCATGGGTCCTCTCTCCCCAAGATACCAAAAGCTGCAGATGCTCAAGTCTTTTATGCAAAATGGGACACTATTTGCATAAAATCCATGCACATACTCCTCTGTACTTTATCTCTAGATTCCTTAAAATCCCTACTACAATGTAAATGTTAAGGAAACAGCTGTTATATTCTACCACGGAATAGTAAGAAAAAAGTCTGTACACGTTCAGAGCAGATGGAGTTTTTCCCAAATAATTTTGATCCATAGCTCACTGAAACTGGACAAGGAACGCAGGCAGATAGAGGACCCTCTGAGGGCTGACCGCGACCACTCGTATGAGCTGTTTCAAGTCCTCAGCACACCCGTGTATTTGAGCTGTGCCATTCTGAATATACAGGCTCGTGTATGCATCCTCACGTGCTCAAGGGAGAACAGGGTCTTTGTAACTGGAAGAGTACGACTGTAGGACTTTTCCTCTGAGAAACAATGGGGCAGTGTTTCAGCAGAGGGTTTAAACAACAGAGGTGTTTTGCTACTCCTACTCTTCAGAACTTGAACGCTGAATGGTTCTTAACTTTCAGTGTGATGGCAGCTAGCACGGGGAAGGCAGTGCCCCACGTCAGACTTGTCTTCCTGTCTCAGGTCCAACCACTGAGTACGGGAGGCAGACAAGCAGGGGGAATGTGGTGCAGCACCGGACGAATGGGGATCCTCGGGCCGCCTGCTCGTGTCTGCTACAGAAGCCCCTCAGCGGCTCTCAGGACAGAGGATCACCAGTGTGCAGCTCCAGCTACTTGCTTCCCAGTCACCTGCAGTTGGAGGGACTGTCACAGAGCATCTGAGCTACTTGTCCCAGCTTGCTCCGCACCCACCCTAATCTACAGTTTATCTAATATTATCGTTTAACTAGATCTATAGGAGCTCAGTTGAGTATAGCAACTTGAGTACAGGACCTGCATTCTTTGCTTTTTTTCTTTTTTTGGCAGTACTTGGCACTGAACTCAAGGACTGCACCTGGAAGTACAGCCCCAGCCCTTCCACCGTTTTAGACAGGGCCCTGCTATGTCACTAAGTCATGCAGGCAGCGCTTGACTTTGTGATCCTTTTGCCTCAGCCTCTGAGTGCAGGGTTACAACTGTGTGCCATCAAGCCCAGCTTGTTCTTTGCATCTAAATTGTGTGTTTATTAGGCAATTAACAAATCCTGTATTTGCTTCATGAAGTAGGGTAGAAAGTGACATAATACTATATCAAAATAAAAATGCTATGTCTTTTTTTTTTTCTTGTTTTTTTTCTAGTACCGGGAATTGAACTCACAACCTTGTGCTTGTCAGGCAGGCGCTGTGCCGCTGAGCTAAATCCCCAGCCTCTAAGAAAAAGTCTTGAAATTCAAAATATCTGGATAATTAAATGATGCCTGCATAACAATTACAAAGAGAAAGCCCTAGAAAACTGGGTAAGTGCCAACTTCATTAAAGTGAATGCAGAAAATGAGTGGCATTTGAAATTCAAGGACTCTTCAGCGCAGACAGTGAGAAAGGAAACTGGGCAGGGAGGAAACTGACACTGGAGGGAAACATCTGTTCGTCTTCCAGCTCGCCTTCAAGGGTACAGCTTCGGACTGAAAATAAATCCTTCATACAGGGTATTTCCTAGGGCTTAAAAAATGTGTAGTTTCTATGTTTTGAGCACTAATATGCAAATTTTGGCTCAAAATCAGTTTAAGAGAAACCAACATTTATAGTTTTTTTTGTCCTGAAAATAAGGTTTTTCAGGATTGTGTCCAGGATCTCTCCCAACTCCAAATCTCTGAGTTTATGAGCATCACTGCTTCATAGAGCTTTGGCTTTTCCCCCAGGTAAAATAACATTTTACGAACTGTTGGATTCTCCTAGCTCAGTGTCCCTGGTTCACCGCCACACCACACCGCATGGCACCAGTTGCAGCTGTATTTTCTCTAAGTCATAGAAATGAACCACAGGAGCCTTCTAACTGCAAAATCACAAGCTTTCTTTAATTCTGCTGAGGCCAGTTGATGGGAGATATAGTCTGTAGCTGTTAAAATCCCGAATAAAGCCGGGTGTGGTGGTACAGGCTTGGAATCTGAGCACTCTGGGAGGCTGAGGCAAGAAGATCACAAATTTGAGCCCAGCCGGGGCAGCTTAGTGACTTAGTGAGACTGTGCCTTGAAATAAAATATTTAAAAACGCTGAGGATGTAACTCTGTGGAAATGTCCTGGATTCAGCCCTTCACCTCCAAAAAGTAAAAACGAAAATGAACCAAAACAAAACCAAGAAAGTGTCTTGGCTCCTGGACAGGGGTCTTCTCCGGCACTGAGGCTGCTTGTTGTAGTGCTTGGGACAGAAGCAGCAGGAAGTCTGACCCGAGCACCCAAATATCCCCAAACTTGTTATTCAGCTTTCTCTTTCCATACCTGATAGTATACTACTTTTTTTGTGTGTGGTACCGGGAATCAAACTCATGACCTTGCACTTGCGAGGCAGGCGCTCTGCCGCTGAGCTATACCCCTGGCCCTCTACACCTGTTAGTAATTGCAGATTTTTACATCTTTTATCTTTTTCCACTATTCTGTTTAGAGGTCATTATTAGACGTATCCAGGTAGAGACCCAAAGCAGCTGCATTTTCGCTCTCCCCGCTTCTTCAGGGTCTGAGCATCTTTTTACGTGACGTTAGGCTTACGGATCTTACGCATCTGCTCCTGCATTCGTGTGACTTCTCCCGTCCACGCTTACGACCCGCGTTACCTGCTGGAGTATGCATCTCCGCCCACAAACTCGGGCGCCACGGCGGAGGCCGGCTCGCTGCTCCCCGGTTTCCCGCCGGTGTCAGCTCCCGGCCTTCCCCGGGGCTGGGCGCCGAGGCACCGGCAGCCCCGTCCTTCGCCGCGTCGCCCGTAGTCCCCCACCTCCGGAACCCCAGGAATCCCTGCTTTGAGGCTAGAATACTTTTCTTTCTGCTTCTCCCAAACATTCAGTCTTAATGCTGTTTTTCTCAGCGAGTTCAGGCTTTCCGGAAGACAAACGCGAGTAACTCCACCTGCCAGAGCTACTTCTTTCCCGTAACACGCGTAACTAGCGGGAAGGACGCGGAGGAGAAAACGCCGTGTGCGGACGTTCCTGCTCCGCCGCAGCGCGTCGCTCCCACACACTCGCTTTCCCGAAGCGCACGGGCGCCGGGCTCCGGGGCAGTGGCGGGCGCGCCCCGGCCGGGCTGGGAGG